CATGTAAAGGTACAAGATCCCAATGATGAATGTAACTGTATTTTATACCTAAAATGTACCAATAAACTTAATGGGAAAAAAATTAAAAAATAAAAGGGAACTGGTCAATACAATCTGTTTAGGTTAAAAAAAAAAAAAAGGCTTTGACACATCAAAGACTATTTTTAAAAAGTGAGTCACCATGAAATTGAGAAAAAAATTGCTATGTCATACCAGGAAACAAAAAGCACTTGGCTGAGGATCAAGGCAGGACACCCCCTGGAGCATTGGCACCCACAGGGAGACCAGGAAGTCTGGGAGGAGCCAGCACTCCAAGAGATGCTGCCCTCCAGCGGGCAGAGAAGGGGGGCATCACTTACACAACTTGTGTGTGGAAAGGAAGCAGACAGAATTAAAGCCGGAACTAGGCATGCGCTGAAACCAAGAGTGAGGTGCTAGGAGTGAGGTGTGGAACTTCTAGCCCATGGGAAAGTTTAGGGCAGCTGCCCTGAGAAGAGGAAGGAAGCTGATGAATGAAAGATAAAGGGCAATATTGTGAGGTCAGTGTGAGCAGTACTTGTACTGAGTCAGTACAATGCAGTACAGCCCAAGAGCATGATATGGGAAGCAGATAGGCGGACTCAGCCAAGGTAAGGGATATTTTCAGGACAAGGGGTGAAGGAACTGAGGCTGCTATTCAAAGACCCAGTCTGGGTGCATAGGGATGGAAACAGTCAGCAAAGTTCACTGAGGGAACAGGGAGGGAGAAAAGCCATCAACCTGAAAGAGGTCAAGGGCAGGGTTTTGGAGGTGGCTGATGGCAATGACACTGCAGGCAAAGTGTGAGCTTTGAGTCAGGCCACCACAGTGCTAATCTGGGTGCTGCTGTTTTTTCCACAGTGTGACTTTAGGCCTTATTTCCTCATCTACAAAAAGAGTAATACAAGTCCAAAGTCTACTCTGAAATCCTAGAACTCTACAGGTAATATTGGAATTTGAAAATGTCCAGCCTTTAAAAAAAGCAATATACTGCACAAATCACATATTACCTAACACCCTGCCCCATGATGCTTTTGGCGGCATCCTGTAATTAAATATCCATATCTGTTCCATGAAATAAAATGTTACACTAGGGGCCAGGGATTTAGCTCAGTGGCACCGTGCCTGCCTTACAAGTGGAAGGTCCTGAGTTAGATTCCTGGTACCAAAAAGAAAATGTTTACACTAAATGGGACTATAAGTGAACTCATACCATTTTAGATCAGATTTTGTAGCCAAATGAGTTTTAACACCAATCTTGTGGGGGGAAAATTTTTAAAGATTTTTAGAGTTTGTGTTTACAATGATAGTGGGCTATTGTTCGATCCCCGGTACGCCCCCAAAAAACAATGATAGTGGACTATGAATAGAACCCACTTCCTACAGCTGTGTAAGGATTAAATGACTTAGGTTCACATAAAGTGAACTGGTATAGAGTATGACTTTGATACATATTGCTACTAATGTTCTCATCACCTTCGCCATCATCATCACTGGTGGTGGAATGGCTGAAGTGAAAAGGGGAGCAATAAGTAGGGAGGGAGAGAGAAGAGAGAGATAAGGTAAAAATAAGGCAGGAAAGTGGGCCAGGTGTGGCTTTGAATACCAAGTGGGAAGTTTAGATTTCATCAAGCAGTACAGAGGGCAGAGAAAGACATAGATTTTTCAGAAGGTTAATGATATCAATAAATTCTTGTTTCAAGAAAACTACTCTAGTAGCAAAGTAACAAGATAGAACATACAGGGCTGGGGATTTAGCTCAGTGGCATCACACCTGCCTTGCATCCTGAGTTCCACCCCCAGTACCAAAAAAAAAAAAAGAACATACAGAGACCAGGACATGTTAGCAGAGCTTCCTGGTAAACCACATGGGGGACAATAAGAATCTTGCATGAGACGGGGGCAGGGTGGGGGGGATGAGATGCCAGAGGGAGAATGGAAAGATCTGGAACCTGATGGGAAGGTGGTAAGGACTAAGAGAAAATGGTATCACAGAATAAAGGAAGTAGAAATTTTACAGAAATAGGTGGTGATGATGTTAAATATAATAAAAGAAGGGTCAAGATAAGGTTCAGAAAGAACAATTTGGTGCTATGGCTTAAATAGTTTGTCCTCTCCAAAACTCCTCTTGGGGAATTTAATCCCCCATTGTGAGGTAATAAAAGGGTGGCAACAATCTGAATATAGTGGTAATCCCTTTGGGAAGTGATCAGGGTTAGCTAAAGTCATCAGGGTGGAGCCACTATGATTGAAAACTGGTGGCTTTATAAGAAGAGGACAAAACCCAGAACATTACACAAACACATTCCCTGTCTCCTGCCACGTGATGCCCTGTGCTGCCTCAGGCCTGGGCCAGCAAGAAGGCCACTACCATATTCAGTCACTCAACCTTGGACCTTGGACCAGAACTATGAGCCAAAATAAACCTCTTTTCTTTGTAATTTACCAATCTGTGGTACTGTGTTACTAGCAAAAGAAAGTGACATTAGCTATCTGGATTTGGCAATTAGTCACAACTGGAGAGCTCACAAAGAGCAGGTTTAAGTAAATCCAGGAGGGTGGAAGCCACACAGTACTGATGCCACTGAGGAACGAGGTGAAAACACAGCTACTGAATTTAGTAATAACGTTTTCAGTAACCACTGACATTCATTGCAGAACTTAATGCAGTGCTGTGAGAAACCCACAAGCTCCAGTCATTTAGCAATTCGTGGCCTTAACCACTCAGCCACCTCATCAACATGCTGCAATCATTTAAGTATGGGGACAAGAAAGTAAGGAATATGCTGCCTGATAGATCTGTCTTCCCTATAAGATGGGAAGTGGTCCTCATCTACAGGAGAAAAGGAATTCATCTTCCAGTTGAAAATAGCAGATTTCAGTCAGGAACTAGAAAACTTTTTCTATAAATGGCCAGTAAGTATTTTAGGCTTTGTCAGCCACACAGAGTCTCTGTAACATATCTTGGTTTTTTCCTGTTTTGCTTTAAAACCCTTTAAAAACTGTAAAAACATTTTAAATCAGGCCACATAAAAGCAAACTGTGGGCTGTATCTGGGATAGGAATCAGAGTTCACTGACCCTGATTTAGTTTACACACACACCTCTTCTCCCTCCTCAGTACCCCAAAATGATAGAAAAGATTGTTTACTGTACAGCAGCAGTACACAAGGTCAAAGAGAAAAGGAGAGGAGACAACAGAAACAGAAGTTCGGAAGCTAGGAAACAAGCAAGTGGAACTCAGCAAACCCAAGAAAGCAGAATCCTATACTGTACTTTAGTAGAAAAGCTGAGTTGTAATGTGCAATACACCATGGGACTCCCTTCCAAAATCTCAACTATCACTGAAAGTAGGAGTGAAGATGGCAGTAAAACACACATTCTTAAATAGGAGCTGAAAGCCACAATCACAAGGCATTAGAAGAAAGTATGTCATATAGACAGGAAACCAAAATAAAAAAATTAATGGAACATGGAACAGAAAATACACAGGGAGATAAAAACTAGGAAAAAATGTTTAAATCATCAGCAAGAAAATGTTTACTCATAAAAGAGGTAGAGAAATCACTTAAAAGGTACATTCAGTGAACAAGAACAAAAGAAGTCCTTAAAATTAAAAATATAATTGCTGTGAGAGTTACCTGTTTGTGTCAAGTTGAGTAAGAAACACCCAACTAGATTGGGTAACGACCTAGGGGGAAATGAAGAAAAAAATCGGTGTTTCTTTGAAGGAGCTCCAGTCTTCACCTTCACCTTGGATGTCATCTTCAGCCTTCTGGGGCAGATCCTTTGGCCTCCTAATATGGACTCTCACAGAACACTACAGTGGGCTCCAGGCCTTTGACTGGATCCTTTCGATCCCCAGTGTGCAGGCAGACCTTTTGCACTCTTCCACACCTGACTCTATGAGCAGCCATTGTAAGCCAATCTTGTACATTTTTATATATTTGTGTATCTTCCATTAAATATGTTTCTCTAGTAAGCACTTGCCGTGGGCCGAGCCTTAAGATGGCCCTTCGCCTCCTCCCTACTTCCTTTCTCCTCCATAGACTAAGATGATAGACCCTGGATGGCACAGCCCCAGGAGACAGTTATATAATGCATCCTTCTTCCTTGTTCCCTTTCTGTGCTCGCCCCGATCACAAGACAATCACACTATGTTCAACCTAGGCTACACAGGCCATGTAGCACCAGTCACCCTGCCTTCTCTTCCTGTTTTTGTTGCACTATAAATAAAGAACATGATGGACTCCAGGTGGCCATTAGCTCAACAGACTATGGTTCTACCTGGTCCCAGCTTTCAAGCACAATCTTGCTATGTATCCTTCTTTCTTGTTATTTTTCAATTTTCTTCATCTCCCACTGCTCTCCCCAGCTTTGGACCCTATGTCATGCAGGTCACAGCATCTGGCATCCAATGTGGCCAGTACAAGACTTGAGGACTCAGGTGGGGAGATACCTCCATAAGTGCACACAAAGGGGGGAGATGCATGGTTCACTGGGTGTAAAATCATGGGACAGTCAGGCTCACATGAGAAACACCTCTATATTCAAGCTCTCACAAACTGCTAAAGGCTAAAGGGACTAAAGTCAAACTCGATAAGCTTTGGTCTTTCCTTTCTTTTGTTCAAGCATAAAAAAATAAAAATAAAAAAAATTTTTAAAAGGTACACTTTAAAATTTTAAGAGCTGACAGCTCCCAGCGCAGAGGAGGAGGATTCTGGGTCAAGCTGCCACTGCTCCCAGTACAAAGTTGGAGGCTTCCAGGTCAAAGTACCACCGCTCCCAGTGCAGAGGAGTAAGCTTCCAGGTCGATGCGCCATCATTCCCAGCGCAGAAGAGAAGGCTTCTGGGCCAACATACCACCACTCCCAGCACAGAGGAGGTGAGATGTGCCAGCAACATCCCCCCTCTCCCCATCAAAATGAGAAGACACATAAACAAGCCTCAAAACCAGACTTTCAGATCACCTACCTACAGCAACCCGAAAGGGAAACGAGATGGAACACTGATACTCAACCAACTGGACTCCCTGAACTGGCAAAAAAAGAGGAGCTGGAAAAAACGAAATCAGAAATAATTTCTCAGATAACAGCAGAGATTGTGCTCATAGTGCAAGACATGATTAATAAATCTAGAGAGGAGCTGAGGAACATGATGGAATCCCAACATAGGAAACAAATGGAATCCATAAAACAGATGCAAATAGATTTCCAGAAGATTAAAAACTCCATTGAAAGTCTACACAGCAGAATAAGCCAATGTGAGGACAGAATTTCAGATATAGAAGATAAGATTGGAATTAGTGACCAGTAAAAGAAAAGTTGCTTTAAAATAGTAAGGGACCACGAGAAATCAATCCAGCAGCTGCTAGACGATGCAAAGAAGAATAACATAAGACTGATCAGAGTCAATGAAGAAACCAGAGAGAGTGCAGACAACATAAAAAACCTGTTCAGAAAAGTGATGGCATAAAAATTCCCAAGCAGGGGAAAAGAATTCGACATACAGATAAGTGAGGCATATAAGACTCCAACTAGCCTTCATTAAAAAAAAAAAAAATCTTCACATAGGCATATAATTGTTAAGATTCCAGAAACCCAACAGAAGAACAAAGTTCTACACGCAGTTAGAGAAAAGAAACAAATCAGATACAAAGGAAAGCCCATCAGAATCACAGCACACTTCTCAATGCAAACTCTCCAGGCAAGAAGAGCTTAGAGTGAGGGATTTCACACCCTAAAAGAAAACTGCCTGCAACCCAGACTGATGTACCCTACAAAACTATCTTTCAAAACTGATGGAGAAATAAAATACTTTCATGACAAAGAGCACCTTAGGAACTTCATGAATACCAAACCAGCACTCCAAAAAATTTTAGACAGTGTCTTAGGAAAAGACAACAAGGATCACAACCCCAGGAAGCCCAGCAAAATGAATCTATCAGGCACGACAAGAAATTAAATGCAAAAGGGGAGAATCCAACAAAAAGAAAAAGTCATGATAATGATAAGTCAATATGTATGACTTATAACCATCAATGTCAATGGTCTCAAATCACCAATCAAAAGAAACAGACTGGCAGAATGGGTCAAGAAGCAAGATCCAACAACATGCTGCATACAAGAAACACACTTAATTCAAAAAGAAACTCACAGACTGAAAGTTAATTGGTGGAAAACAATACTCCATGTGATAGGAACCCAAAAAACAGGAGGAGTAGCTATCCTCTTTGCAGATCAAGTGGATTTCAAACCAACAGTGATTAAGAGAGACAAAAAAGGACACTACATCCTTGTAAAGGGAACACTCCAAGAGGAAGAGATAACAATCATAAGTATCTATGCACCAAACACTAGTGCACCCAACTATATAAAACAAATACTCTCTCAGAAAGTGATGGAGTAAACTAAAAGCCTTCATGGAACTTGATAAAGAGGATGAATAGAAAGTAGATTCAACTATGAAATCATAATCATAGATGATGGATGCCCAGAAGGAACAAGGGATGTTGCTGAACAGTTGGAAAAGATCTACAGATCAGACAAAATTCTTTTAAGACCACGGGAGAAAAAGTTGGGAACAGGAACCGCATATATTCATGGAATGAAGCATGCCACAGGAAACTATATAATTATTATGGATGCTGATCTCTCACACCATCCAAAGTTTATTCCTGAATTCATTAGAAAGCAAAAGGAGGGTAATTTTGATATTGTCTCTGGAACTCACTACAAAGGAAATGGAGGTGTATATGGCTGGGATTTGAAAAGAAGAATAATCAGCCGTGGGGCCAATTTTATAACTCAGATTTTGCTGAGACCAGGAGCATCTGATTTAACAGGAAGCTTCAGATTATACAAAAAAGAAGTTCTCCAGAAGTTAATAGAAAAATGTGTTTCTAAAGGCTATGTCTTCCAGATGGAGATGATTGTTCGAGCAAGGCAATTGAATTACACTATTGGTGAGGTTCCAATATCATTTGTGGATCGTGTTTATGGTGAATCCAAGTTGGGAGGAAATAAAATAGTCTCTTTCTTGAAAGGATTATTGACTCTCTTTGCTACTAAGTAAAAGAAAGTTATTCATTGCTACTTATGTTCATTTCAATTGAAATATAAAAGAAGCCCTGTTACTGATTTTTACAACATGTACTCTTAGAGCATAAACCATAAGGTAAGGTAAATTTTATACAAATATGTTATCTGGAGAAACTCCATTTTTTCCTTCAAATTAAATTTTAAAGTTACTAGCCTAATAAGCAGTGCTCTCAATTTTCATTTACATTTTGCTGTATTAAGACCTATAAATAAATGATATGGGTTGTTGAATTAAAAACAACAACAACAAATACTAATGGACATGAAAAATCATATGAGCACTAATACAATAGTAAAGGGGAACTTCAATACCCCACTGTCACAAATAGATAGATGAAACAGACAAAAAATAAACAACAAAATATTAGAACTCAATGAAATTCCTGAACAAATGAACTTAACAGATGTTTACAGAGTGTTCCAACCCACAAAATCAGAATACACATTCTTTTCAGCTGCACATAGGTCATTCTCCAAAATAGAGCACATACTTGCTCATAGAACATGTTTAAGTAAGTACAAAGCAACTGAAGTTATCCTCTGTATATTATCAGACCATAGTGCAATGAAACTGGAGATCAACAGCAAAAGAAACCGCAAGAATTTCATAAACACGTGGAAACTGAACACACACTTCTGAATAACCAATGGGTCACAGAGGAAATTAAAGAAGAAATCAAACCAGACAGTTCCTTCAATTAAATGACAACGACAACATAACATATTGGAATCTGTGGCACACAATGAAAGCAGTCTTACAAGGGAAATTCATAGCAGTGAATATGCATATTAGCAAAACAGAGCAAGCCCAATTAAACAACCTGATGGTGAACTTCGAGCTTCTAGAAAAAGAAGAGCACGACAAACTCAAAGCTCATACAAGGGAGGAAATTATAAAGATCAGAGGAGAAATCAATGCAATGGAGACTAAGACAACAATACAAAAAAATCAACAAAGCCAAGAGTTGGTTCTTTGAAAGAATCAACAAAACTGACAAATCCTTAGCCAACCTTATCAGAAAAAGGAAATAAAAGGCCCAAATCCATGCAATTAGGAATGGAAAGGATGAAATTACAACGGACCCAGCAAAAATCCAGAGGATCATCAATACCTACTTCCAGAACCTATATTCCAATAAGATGGAAAACACAGAAGAAATAGACAGATTCCTAGATACATATGAATTACCAAAGTTGAA